AACGGCAACAAGCGGGCGGGGCAGCCGCGAAAGCTCCAGGAGGCGCCGCCCGCCCGGCCGCCCGCCGAGGGAACCCCAGGTCCCGGCGCAGGGCGCGAAGACGCCCCGCCCCGCCCCCCGCCCCGCCCCGGCCGCCGCCCCGGGGCCCGCCGCCGCCACCGCGCCGCGCTCCCATTGGTGCCCGGCGGTGACGCGCGCGAGCGGGCCCCGGGCTGCCAGGGCCGGGGGGCGGGCGCTGGGGGCGGGGGCCGGGCTCGCGGCTGATGAAACCCGGCGCCGGAGCCCGCCCGCCCTCCACGCTCCATTCAGTCGGCGCGGGCAGGTGTGAGGCTCCGGTCATCTGCCGGGCGGGGCGCGAGGCCAGCCGGCGTCCGCTAGCCGCAGCTCCCGCTCCCCGCGCCGCCGTCCGAGCCGCCGCCGTCCGGCCGCGCGTGCCGAGTCCCTCGGCCGACTGGTCCGCGTCCTGCCACCCGCAGTCCGGCCGCCCGCCGCCGCGGTGAGTGCCCGGCCCGCGCCCGGGCAGCTGCCCGCGTGCGGGTCACCTTGGAGGGGCCCCCGGCGCCGCGGGGGGCCGCGGGAGGGCGGCGCGGGGAGCGGCGAGGGTCGGGCGCCGGGGGCGCCGGCATCCTCCGGGGCGGGCGAGGGCAGGGCGGGCGCCGGGCTGTGCGCGCGGGGCCGGTGCCCATGCGGCTGTCTCCTCCACCGGAGTCCATTTTGGTTCCCTGAAGGCGCGGCGTGGTGCATGATGCAACACCGAGCGAGGAAGCGTGGACGACCCGGCGCCGCCGCGATGCCGGCCGCGCGCGCCCGCCGGCGGCCCCGCGCCCGGGCGCTCGGGGTGGTCGGGCGGGGCGGGGGGCGAGAGCCGCAGCGGCCACACGGGCCGGCCCGGGAGGCGTCCGCAGGCCTGCCCTTACATGGCGCGGAGCACGGCACCCCGCCCCGCCACGAGGTCCGCGATGTGTCATCGCGGCGGTGGGAGCCCGCCCTGCGGCCGCGGGGGGGGGAGGGGGGTCGTCCCGCGGCAGGTGGCCCGCCTGCGGCCGGCGGCGCACCCCGCACCCCGCTCTCTCTTCCCCAGACCTCGTGCGGCTCCCTGGCCCGTGTGCACCGCTCGTCTGAGTTTCCAGGGTTGTTTCGGGGAAGTTCCCCCCGGGGTGGGCTTCCTCGTGACTAGACCTGACCTGCGAAGGCTGAGTTCTTCAAGCCTTCCAGATGGTTTGGAGCGAGAGGAAGTTCTTACGGCTTAATAAAGACAGCGTCTAAGCAGCGTGTTCCTTGCTGCGTAGTAGAAAACCTCGCAGACGGGCAGGTCGCGCGGGCGTTGCGAACCTGTGTGTACGCAGAGCGGCGGGACGCCGGAGTACTACGACGTGCTGTTTTATTTTGGCTCCTTCCTCTTTTCAGTGAGTGGGAGATACGAGTGGTGGTTGGCTCGCTAAGATTAGGATACAGACATGTGCCTTGGGGAAGAAAACTACGCCTCCCAATACACAGGGTCAGGCTCTCCTATAGAATTCACCGACAGTTGCGTTTTATTCCGGGTTAGTTACCCGGGGAGAGGGTTGGGATTTCAGTCCCCGGTATATTTCCCTAGCAACGTGCTCTTTACAGTTTGACCGGCAGGACTGTGTATGTTTGGCCTGAGGTTGAATTTCCTCATTGTCTTTAATTTGAGTTATAATTTATTAGGGAGTTATCTTAACATTTCTTGTACTTTATGTTTGGTTCAGATAATAGGAAACCCATGATACAGTTATTCCCCTGATATTTTTAGTCGGTCTCAGTGGAAATTATCGTTATTTTTATATGAACACACCCTCTGTCATTAAAACAAAAGCTCTTATTTAAGTCGAAGTCAGAATAGAAGTTAGGGAACAAAGTCAACGATAGATTAAAATAGTTTTTAAAGGTTTAGCATATCAAGGTCAGGTTTTATCATAATAAATAAATTTGAAGAGCGTTAAAGGAGTTCTGACCAATAATAGAACAAAACTTCATAGAGATCAGAAATGTACGCAGTTGTTTGAATCTGGATATAAACCACATGAGAGCTCTTATGAGTATAACTATTTTCTTTTTTTTTTTTTTTTTAAGGTTTTTTAAAATTTATTTCTAGGAGAGAGAGACAGCGTGAGCAGGGGAGGGTCAGAGAGAGAGAGGGAGTCACAGACTGAAACAGGCTCCAGGCTCTGAGCTGGCAGTCAGCACAGAGCCCGACGCGGGGCCCGAACCCACGAACCGCGAGATCATGACCTAAGCGAAAGTCGGACGCTTAACCGACTGAGCCACCCAGGCGCCCCGAGTGTAACTATTTTCTGTAGACAAGGAAAAGGCTTGGAAGACAAGATTGCTGACCTTGGGGAGATTGAATTCTAAGACATGTGTTAATTATATTTGGTATAAATATATGTTTATTGATCTAGTCTGGAGTTTCTTTTCGACTAAGGCCAGCAAAATATGTAATTATGTTGGAGGGCCCAGTATGATGTCTAATTGGATTAATCCCTTTTCATTACTATGTATTTGGAGGTATTGGTTTATTAATCCTAGGGAGGAATTTGAAATAGGAATAAGTCTGTCCTTGTTATAGAAACATTATCCTCTAGCGCACAGGCATCATGTAGTTACTCATCATTCCACCTGGTTCTTGGTCCAGGCAGGACTTGTGGATGGGACCCTAGTGTTTTTCTGTACCATTTGGTCTCTTCAGGCCTGCGGGCTGTCACTACCACTGCCTAGTTCCAGTTGAGGGCGGATCTCATGGACTATGAGGACTTTGCATTTCCTTTAGATGAAGTAGGGAACCATCAGAGGGTTACGTGAAATGCGTGAAGAAAAGATGGAGGTGGGGGAAGCGGGCAGGCATAGAAGCCTGGAGAGCAGTTCAGAGACTTGTGACTTAAGTCTGGAATAAACTCCACCTCCAGATTATTTGTGCAAAAGAGAGAGTGACTACATGGCGTTTCCTTGAGAGGTGATGGCGACTGAGTCTGGGGTGGAGATGGTAGAAATGTGAGGTGGCTGAGTTCTGCTCCACCTGTGGACTTACCTAACTTGCTCCTTCTGTAGATTTTAAAGGGAGACTCAATAGGCTTGGCCAGTGGGTTCCATGTGAGGTGGGAAAGAAGTTAAGTACAATTCCAAGGAGTGGAATTGCCGTATTAACAGATGGGGAAGGTAGAGGAAAGAGCATGTTGGGAGGGACTTTTTTTTTAAGTCACAGCTGACTATTTTTAGACATTTCCATCCTCATGAGGCAGGGTTGAACTAGATCTGTCCTCTCGGGGCCCGTTGTCACGTGCATGACTGCATCACAGCCACCTGCCCCAGGATGGTGGCCATCTGCCTTTTCACCTAGCATTCTTTCCTCCTCACACCTTACCGGGGGATGTCTTTGTGCTTGCAGACTCCCTGGGCTGCCCTCCCACCCTCCAGTGGGCACCTTGGCCGTGGGCTTGTCCCACTGCCAGGATGGGGAGCTCTGCCACATGGGGCGTGCCTCCTTTTTCATTCTTGGGCCTTCAGGACACCTGCCTTCCAGGGGTTTCTTGTGCCTTGGGCCACTTGGATTCCAAGCCAACCATCTACCCAGCACAAGGGTTTAGGTCTTTTCCAGTCACAGGATAGAGTAGTGCCATCTTTCTTGGCAGGTTAACAGCCTTGTAGTAAACTTTAAGAGCTTTTCTTTTCTCTTTCTCCATAATCCACCTTGCCCCCTGCAATGCTGATTCCACAGCAGCTTTGAATATAAGCACCCCTGCAGTTGTTCAAACTGCGCCTGATTTGTCATGGGAGATGTGGTGCATTTGCCACCTGTGGGTCAGAAGAATGGGCAACAAATTGGTAAAACGCTTTGGTGAACAGCTCAGTACGTTCGTTCCGTTCTAAAGGCAGTTCCTTCAGATTCGCGTTGGTTGAGTGAAGCCGTTTACCTTCCCCATTGGTGTGGGTTCATTCCTCCCAGGAGCATAGGCTGTAGGAAAGACCTTTCTGGACATTAGGATGGATTCTGGCATAGAGCTGACCCAGCCTGCCACACCCAGTGTCTTTCATTTGGCTTTCTCCCCCTCTGTTGATGGTCAGGAACCGTTCGGACTACCAGCTCATTCGTTTGGTGAACAAACCGCATGAACAAATTAGAGCCGTGTGTGTTTAGAGGCCTTTACAGCCTCAGTGCGGCCTGAGATGACTCATGCACCCTGAAATGAAGGAGGTTGCTTTGAGGAGCTGAGGACAAGTAGTACCAATGCGAGGCTTCTGGAATCCTTGCTTTGCTACTCTGTGTGCGGCTCCCAGAAAGGCATTTATTTAGGCTTTGCTACCTCTGTAGACCCACTCCATCCATAGACTGGGGAAGCCTTCCCTCTCGGCCTCACCAAACCACAAATTCCCATAGTGTTCTTTGGAAGAGGAAAGGTCCCAAATCAATCCATTTAGATTTCTAACAAGGAGTGAGTTCTTTCTATTACCTGTCTACTGTTCTGATTATGGGAGCCAGAAATCAAGCTCAGGGAAGCCTTCAACGGCTGCTGCCAGGTGGACTTTTCTGGAGGTAGAAGGAGTGTCCCTTAGTTGGGCCGTGTGTATTTCTGTGTCCTCCCTTCCTTTCTCCTGAGTGGATAGTCAGCTTTTCCTTCCTGGAGGCATAGAGGGAATGGGCGGTTGTGTTTCCTTAACATCACATATTTCTGCTATTATAGTGCTTTCTCCAGAATATTTGTTCACGTACGTTCTTGACTGCGAGCACAAGCAAATATTTTCCCATGTGTTTAGGCATGGGTCCTGTGCTCTGTGTTCTCCATGCATAGCGACCTCTGCACTGCGGAGACCATGCAGCGCTGACTCTGGCCTCAGGGGAGTAGCCTCTGCTCTGCAGGCCCCTCTGAGCTCCCTATGGGGCCACGCACTGCAGGGTCAGAGGATATGCCACCGGCCCCGTCCTGCGGAAGGTGCTGCATCCCGGAGTGGGGTCTACTTACAGGATAAGTGCCTTTTCTGTTGTATTTTTCACATTTAAGGTCTTTTTCATTTTGTTTGCATAATAATCGGCTTCTAGTGCTAACCTTAAGGGATTGAGAGGATTTAAGTGAGGTAATCTGTGTTATATGTACTTGACACAGCTTCTGGTACACACCAAGTGCTTCAAATAAATGGTTAACTGTTGTACTGGAAGAAAGCTCAGTTCTTTGATTTAGGTGTGGAGAAAAAGAGTTCTTATAACCAGTTTGTTTTGCTCTCCCACTTTGCCAAGGGATTATACTATAGTCCCTTTCCCTTGGAATCGTGTCCGTATTGCGGGGCTTGGATATAGTGCCAAGGTTTTGGGGGGACATGGAGCTTTTGAGGCATCTGCTGACCCAGGCCTAGGATCTATGCATGTGACCTTAGTTCCTGTATCCGTCCTTGTCCCTTTAGGAAGACTTACAGTTGAGGTCATGGAGGGCATTCTGTGGCTTTTTGCTACAATGGGGAAGGGAGATGTGGGGGGAGGAACCACAGTCTCTGAGACTGTGTTGGCTCTGACTGCCCCGCTGACCTTGTAGCCATAAACCCTTTGGGGACCAGGTCCTGCTCTGGGCATGTTGGAGGTCAGGTTCCTTTAGATCTCGGATCCGTGTACTCTGGGTTTAGCCACTGCTTGTCCCTCTGGAAAGCAGAGCTCACAGCCTCATTCTTTGGGCTCGCCAGTGTGTGTGTGTGTCTGTGTTTGCTGGGGTTCTCTGCCCTCATCATAGTCATCCTGACCTCCACATATTTCGTCCAAATTACCCGGAAGTCTTTGAGTTTAGAAACCATAGCCAAACAGTTAGAGCCATCTCTGTTTTCCACCTTATTTCATCTCCTCCTCCAGGTGGCCACGTAAGACCCCCTAAGTGCCTTGGGGTGGAGGTGGTGGACGCTTGGCAGTGGCAGCAGTGGGAAGGGAAGGGCACACACCCGCTCTTACCCGCTCTTACTATTGCTTCATCACAGTGTTGTAACTGCTGTCTTCCTATCTTAAGGTCGGCTTGTCTTCCTATCTTAAGGTCAGCTTGGAGATGTTCTTTTCTTCTCTATCTTTTTATCTGTCTACCAAGTACTATTAGCCAGAGTCTATTACATCAAATAGGAAGGAAGGGAGAGGCCCAGGGCAGCGTAAGATCAAGAATCACAAGCGCTTATTGAGCGCTCACTGCGTACTTGGCATTTTATGTCTTCATGGAATCCTCACAGAACCTTCACGAAATCAAGCCCAGTGAGGTTGACTACTATTTTGAGTGATGGGAAACGGAAGCCCTGAGAAGTGATGCAAGTTGCCCACAGGCATGTACTTGGGCAGTAAGTGGCAGAGCGAGGATTTGAACCCTAGGGGGCTGGCTCGGAGTCCTGACCATCGGTGTGCCTTAGGGCTATGGGTGGCAACCTGTACGGGCCCCGGCCTCTCCTGGCACTGCGTTCTGGCATGCACATGCAGTAGGCACTGCCAGGCCTGAGACTTCAGCCCCGGCACTTGCAGCCGCTCAGCCCCATGCGCCCCTTGTTTCTGAGTGAGCCCCAGAGCTGCGGAGCCTGCCGTGCCACTGGACAGCACCCTGCTTTTTGTCCACTGCCGCTGGCCTGGAACACAGTGCCCTCCTCCCTCCATGCCCACAGTGGGCCCTGTGTTCCTGGCACAGCTGGAGCCCTGGTGCCCTGGACGGCTGTGCAGGGAGGTGGCCAGACGCAGAGCTGGCGTGGCTGTCGGACATTGGTGGGGCCGCAGTCTTCCTGGGTCACAGTTTGGCATCCTCGTCACTGGACCAGAACTGGATAGGGGACTTGCTGCCCAGGCCATGGGAGAGCCCTGTTTTACTCCTGCACATCCAGCCGTCTTGGCTCGAGGAGAGGCGTCCTGTGGGAACCAGGGACTGCGCGTGGGACAGAGTCAGCTGCCTTCCGGGGACCCAGGTCTTAACTCTGTTGATTCATCTGCTGAGGCTGGCTGTCCCAGCCAGGGTAGCGGCCAGGTCCATGAAGCTGGCAGGTGGACCGAGGGGAGCTTTCCAGCCCCCTCCTGTCTTTCTCCATTTCTCCTGTGTTCTTCCCACCTTGTCTGTATAACATTTCAAACTAGAAAGTTGCAGTAGTACAAGGAACTTCTGTGTACCCTTTTCTTGAATTAACCCATCGTTTAACTTTTGTTCCTTCTATTCTTTCTATTTAGGTATCTGTGGCTCCAACTCCGTCGATCTGTCTGCACACACCTATGTGCGTTTTCTTCCTGAATGATTTGAGAGTAAGCTGAAGACATCATGCGCTTTTACTTACCCTGCATACTTCAGTGTATGTTTCCTAACAATAAGGATGTTATTCTGAGTCAGGAAATTGAACATTGATATACATTGTTATCTAGTCCACAGTCCGTATTCAACTTTCACTTATCCAAATGATGCCCTTTATAGCCATCTATCTCTCTCTCTTTCTAATTAATACATAGATACATAAAAATATATGTAACTTTTGTGTGGGGAGGAGGGGATCTTTCAAAGGAACTGTGGTCTAAATTTCTATCTTATAATCCTCTTTTTAAAAAATGTTTATTTTTGAGAGAGAGAGTGGGCATGTGGGACAGTCCTGGGGTGGGGGTGGGGGAACAGAGGATCCTAAGCAGGGTCTGTGCTGACAGCAAAGGGCCTGATGTGGGGCTCAAACTCACCAACCATCAGATCATGACCTGAGCTAAAGTCTGACCCTTAGTCATCTGAGCCACACAGCACTCCTATCTCCTAAGGCTCTTTAAGAAAAAATGTTTCTCAGTGGTAGAAAGCTCACTGTGAAAAATTTGGAAACTAGAGAAATATAAGAGACTGGGAAAACAAAAACCATTTGTCATTCCAGCACAGGGGCTTAGTGCCAGGCTAGGTTAGGGGCTTGCAGAAAGGTGGGTAGAAGACTTCTGCTCAGGGAGATCTGGTCACCCAGGCCTGTACGCCAGACACCCAGGGCGGGACCCCATGGCAGGAGCGGCCCTGTCCGGAGCTGGGCAGAGTGGAGGAGTCTTTCCTGCTTCTGCCCGCCTCTTGGGTGGTTGGCCACCTGAGCAGCTGAACTGAACTACCTCGAATAGGGGAGGGTGGAGACCATTCGTATATACCCAGAACGTGTTCAAGGCTTGAAAACAAGTGTTGCAGGCCCTCTCTTGTCCAATATGCACTTCTGACTTCCTACACTTGGCAGAAGGGGAGGGTGGGCATGGGGCCTTGCTCCAGAGAAATGGCACTGGCCGCTTGGCAAACATCCTGTGGTTATTTAATGTGGTTGTTAGGCTTGCCTGTTGTTGAACCTGTTGGGCCCCTACCAGTGGGCCAATGGAGAAATCAGAGGCCAAATTTTTCTTCTTCTTTTTAAGTTTACTTCAGAGAGAGTATGTGAACAGGGGAGAGGGGCAGAGGGAGACAGAGAGAGAGAGAATCTTAAGCAGGCTCTGTGCTCAGCGCAGAGCCTGATGCAGAGCTTGATCTCATGACCCTGGCATCATGACCTGAGTCAAAATCAAGAGTTGGACACTCAGCCCACTGAGCCACGCAGGCGTCCAGAGGCAAAATTCTACACTGTGAATTTTGCTCTTAGTGACTGAGCCATCCTCAAGTTCCTGGGGGAAAGTTTCAAAACTTCCATATGAAGTGTGGATCTGGTGCCTGCATTTCATTTATCCAGGCCACCCTGTTAGTCATCACCAGCAGTAACTGAAAGGGGTCACTTTTTCCTGGCCGAGAAGGGGACTTTTCTGAGTAAATCTGGCAGCTGGAACGGTTTTGTTCCAAGAAGCTGCAATTGCTTTGTCCACGGCACCTCATCCTTTGTACCTCAGTTTCCCTGAGCTATAAACCTACATGATGTGTGAACAAGGGCTTCTGAAGGGCGTGATCAAAAGCTCAAGTATTTTTCCATGTGTTTATTTTTTCTTCTCCTGCACCAGACCCTCTCCTTGAAGGAGCTGGCCTTGAGAGTGATAGGGTGGGCAGCCGCCCAAACTGTGGACACCCCGCTGAGGCCACGGAACTCCTAACCTGGATGGGCCAGGACCTGGAGGGCTGCTCTTCAAAGGAGCCCTTTGAAGTGCAAACATTTCCTTTCCTGAAAAGAAGGGAAATTGAAATGAAAACGTATTGTTCTGTGCAGACAATGTTCTCTTGGATCAAAGAGGGAGTGAGGCTTATAAAGGGAGATTCACAAATGAGACCTTCATGTGGTGCATGGTGAAGAAGGTGTCACTGTGTTGACGTCCACTGCCTGGGGTCTGTGAGTTGGTAAGGTTGTATTTTTCTCCCCTATCTGAGGTCCTCAATCTAGGTTTTACCTGCTATATTTGACTATGTCTCTTGTGTGTAGTTTTGTCTTGTAAGCATTTAGAAATGTCTTTTGGTAATTTATGACACCATCCAGAATACAGTATTATGTAGCCAATGAAAATGGTATTTTCTTTTTTTTTTTTTAATTAATTTATTTTGAGAGAGAGAGTATGTGAGCGAGCAGTGCAAGTGGGGGAGAGGTAGAGAGAAAGGGAGACAGAATCTCAAGCAGGCTCTGCACTGTCAGTGCAATTCATGAACCATGAGATCATGACCTGAGCTGAAATCAAGAGATGGATGCTTAACCAACTGAGCGGTCTAGGCATCCCAAAAATGGTATTTTCTTTTTCTTTAATGTATGTTTATTTCTGAGACAGAGAGAGAGAGCAAATGAGCGAGAGAGCACATGCGCACGTGCACACATAGGGGAGGAGCAGAGAGAGAGAGAGGGAGACACAGATTGTGAAGCAAGCTCCAGGCTCTGAGCTGTCAGCACAGAGCCCAACGCAGGGCTTGAACTCATGGATTGCAAGATCATGACCTGAGCTGAAGTCAGACACTTAACTGAGTAAGCCACCCAGGCACCCCCAAAAATGGTATTTTCAAAGAATATTTGATGTAATAGGAAAAACTTTAGTGTTGAAAGTGAAAGTAAAGTCTGGATGCAATTTTCTGTGTTCAGTGTTATCTTATCTGAGATGTATGTATTTGCACAGAAAGAAAACACTATTAAAATTGGACTTTGGGTTTGTTCACTCCTCTGTATGTGCACCTAAAATGGTGCTCCACAAATATTTGTTAAACAAATATTTTCATAATTAGTAAAACAGTAGTATTTTTAAAGGAGGAATGTCATTGGGCTAAATAGTAACATTTTGGCAGGTGGAAAGAACAATAAACTATTTTAAATTCTGTTGTGCTTTTGCCCTGGTGTCTCCGTGTAGGGTTTATTTTGTTTCTTTTTTTGGTACAAATATGTACCACATTTTGTACTTCAGTACCAATCAAGCTGTGAATGAGCAACTTTGACATCTCTCGTTTTGGAATAATCCTATCCCGTTGGAATTCGAGTATCAGAACATTACATTTTTCCTGGGTTGTCTGTTAGGCACATTCACAGATGGGGTGAAATTACAACCTCCTTTTCCCTACTCTGTAGCCGATGTACCATCGGAGTGACCTGTCCCGTCCTGGTGAGAATTTTTGCCGGATTTGTCCAGGATGTCTTATCTTTGAGCGTCAATCCTACCAAGAGACACTGGCTAAACAGTGTCCTGATTTCTAATTTATAAGTTCTTTAACAACACAGCATCTCATTCTTACCTGCAAGGTAGGTTAGCTTTGAAAATGGCCCTGATTTCGTGATTTTTTTTTTGCAGGGAGGATGAATGTTAACAGCTGCCCATACCTCTCCCTGGTGAGATCATTTCGTTCTTATCAGAAGGACACAGGCATTTAGTTTTCAGAGCTGTGTTGGCTCTGTGTTGGCCTTTCCACCTGCCCTCCACGCAGGGTTCTGGAAACCTAGCCTTTGAGAAGGCTCTCTGGAGGCCGGGTTTGGGATAGGGCTGGTCTTGCGCACACAGTGGTTCTCCTGAGGGTGGAGGCTTTCAGACTCCTGTCTGCAGTCCACAATAAGGCATCAGTGTACACTGATCAAGTACACGCACAGGCGCGTGCATGTCTGTAGATTTAAGTGAAAGTTTTTGTGAAATCGCACCCATTCTTGTACCTGCGGTGCACTCCGATAATTTTTATTTTCTCTTACATGGAAAAAATGCTGGTGGCGACTTGCAGTTTACAAACCCTGTTAGGCCTGGGCATGGGACCCTGCGAACCCCCCCGTCACTCCACCTTGATGTCCTGAATTTCATGTTCACTGGGCTGGGGCCTGGGAGTAATTCTCTGTCCAGACTGGTTTGGACAAAGGCAGCCAGAGGGTAGAGGTTTCCTTTTGTGGTGATGTGGGAGTTTCTAACTGAAGTGGACATTCTTGTTTGTGATTATTCCCAAGAAGGTGAATGGGGACACAGGGCCAGACCTGTATGAATTCCGGTGTCGTTTCCTGCTGATGCAAACTAGATGGCTCTTTCCTTCGCTGACCTCACAAGCTGGTGGTTTTGAAGGTGGGCCTTTCAAGCTGTGTGTAAATTTTGAGAGATGGCTCAGACGTTTGTTAGTTTGAGCACTTTGAAAAGACTTTTTTTTTTTTTTTTGAGCTTACCGTATTCATTATGACATGAGGAAGAACCTGTCTGAACAATGAACCTTTTGGAGTTAAGAATTTATGGGAAGAAGAGGGAGAAAAGATACTCTAATAGAAATATTAATTTTTGGACTCTCAAGCCTGATGGATTAAAATTGAGCAGTGTATTGGAAATACAATATTAGCAATAGCAATCATACCATTGAATAGTTTTCCTTGAAAAGTTAGAATGGGTTTTACATAAACGTAAATCTTACCTGAGAGTCATTTGCATTTTTTTTTTTTTTTGCTTAGAAAGTAAATATTTTTAAGAACAAGTCCGTGTGTATAATTCTTAAAACAATTGTAAATCAAGGGACTTGATTTTACGAACAAGAGAATAGTAAAGGAACAGAAGCCAGAACAAGATAAGTTGCCTGCTTTGTTGAAACATTGTACAAATATCTGTCCTTGTGTCTTGTAAACTTCTTTTATTTATTATTCTCCTCCATAAAAATAAATTTATTGTAAGAATCCAGAGCGCTTAGTTTACAGTCTTTTAAAATTTCATCTGTAAGATACAAATATTACCACCACCACTTGATACTATTTGAGAAGAATCGTCATGAACCTGATTTTATGATCTCATATACGTTAATAGTATGGAAAATAGGGGGTAGTCTATGGTTGCTATTGCATAACACATCCATAAAGCTAGAACCTCAAATTTGTAGGAGCTAGTTTTGTTTTAAAAAAATA